GCTCCTGTGGCAGCGAATGGGGAGCTCCCTCCAGCGATCTGCCTACCAGACCCACAAATAACGTGTGTACAAATGCACTGCATGTTCACCTTGGGCTGCAGGTCTAGGGCACACACGCACACGTGGGCACTCACATGAATGGCTGCCAGCAGTGCTTGGTGGACGTCTCAGGGGGGGAAGGGTCAGGGACAGTGATTGCAGCCCTGAGGGGCCTGCTACTTTCCAGCCACACGGGAGGCAGAAGTTCTAATCTACAGGCCAAGGAGTTCAGCAACTTGCTGGGAGTGGGGACAGTAACAAGGGCCAGGAGGCTGCAGTGGGCATTATGAAGCGTGCACCTGGAGCGGACGGGTGGACAGGGACAGAACTGCACCGGCCCTGGATCACCTCCTGGCTGCCATCACCCCAAGGCTCCAATTTGTACCGATTTTCAGGGGGGGAACACAGGGTCTCAGTGGTGGGAGGCTGTGGTGCCCCAGGGGACAGTGCATTGGATCAGGTGCCTGACCAAACGCCTCCTGGATCCTCCATCCCGCAGGCCCCCCAGGCCCACCTACAGTCGTTAGAAAGCCTGGCTATGGTGGAAGTCAAGGTGAATGACGACGCTATGCACTTGAACTATGGGGAGCACAAGATGCGGCATTCCCAGCAGCCAGCAGGTGTCCCTGTGCTGACCACAGGTGGAAAGCAGCCCAGGGACAGCCCTCTACCGTCTGATGGTCTTGCCAGTGGGGAGACAGAAGCACCCGGCAAGTGGATGAACACTCATGACCCACAGGTCCCCGCCCTGGCTATGTGCTCCTGAGGCCAGGAGAGAAGGAGCGGGCAGCCAAGGGCATCCTGCAGCCCAGGGGCTCCTCCCAGGCCCATCGACACCCCTAACAGAGGTCATGTCACCCATCTGCAAATGAGGACACCACTGCCCAAAGACACATAAAGTGAGCTCAGGACTCCTGCAACCCAGAGAGCACGCCCAGCCCAGCAGTCTCCCAACACAGAACCCCAGGGTGAGGACTGGCCACTGCTGGAGCCAGATGGGCACAATGCGGTCCACTGTGCCATCCTCTCCACTTCTGTGTTGTGATGAAAGCTAGCCACGACAATCTGAGAACAAGGGAGGGGAGTATGTTTCTCTACCAGATAAAGAAGACATACCATGAAGCTAGATCATTAGTGAGGGACAGAACAGGCGTGTATGAGATGGCATCATGGACAGGTGTGGGCAGCATGGCATCCAGCACAGGAGGCTGGCAGTCACCTGCCCTGTGGGAAAGGTGGAACGGGGTCCTCTATCAGTTAGGATAGAATAGGTCATGCTGTGGAAAACACAAGTCCCCAGACTCAGTAGCTTCACACATTCAATATTTATTTTCATTCCTATTACATGCTCAGCGCCGGTGGGTGGAGAAACCACTCTTTTCAGGCCCTCTGATGCTGGCAGCAGACGCCTCTGCACACCACGCCATTACAGAGTCCACAGTCAATGCAGAAGGCAAAGCATTAAAACTCGGGAATACAGTGTAATGCCCTTGACCCTCAGGCAGGGAGATATTTCTTAAGAAGAGTCCTGCCCCAGCTGGGTGGCTCCGCTGGTTGCAGTGCTGTCCCATGCACCAAAAAAAAAAGGTTGCCGGTTCGATCCTTGATCAGGGCACGTACAGGAGGCAACCGATTGTTGTTTATCTCTCACATGGATGTTTTTCTCTCCCTTCCTCTCTCTCTAAAATCAATAAAAACATACACTCAGGTGAGGAGTTGAGAAAAAACAAAGAAGGCCTAGCCAGTGTGGCTTAGTGGTTGAGCATCAAACCATGAACCAGATCACATGGTTTGATGCCCAGTCAGGGCACATGCCTGGGTTGTGAGCTCAATCCCCAGTGGGGGACGTGAAGGAGGCAGCAGATTGATGATTATCATCATTGATACTTCTCTCTCTCTCCCTCTCTCTTCCTCTCTGAAATCAATAAAAACATATATATTAAAAATATTAAGCCCTTACTGGTTTGGCTCAGTGGATAGAGCGTCGGCCTGCGGACTGAAGGGTCCCAGGTTCGATTCCGGTCAAGGGCATGTACCTTGGTTGCGGGCACATCCCCAGTAGGGGGTGTGCAGGAAGCAGCTGATCGAGGCTTCTCTCTCATCGATGTTTCTAACTCTCTATCCCTCTCCCTTCCTCTCTGTAAATCAATAAAACATATTTTAAAAAAATACATTAATTAAAAAAAGGAAGTGAGAGTTCTGCATACAAAACAACTGGGCACTTACTTCCTGCTCCAGGGGCCTAGAGGGGCTCTACACAGGGCACTCAGGGACACTCAGAAGGGTTCTCATGACAGTACTGCCCCAAATTGCAAATAAATTAATTTAAAAAAGAAATCCATCTTGGGCAGTATAACTGTGCCCCCCCCACACACAAGTTCAGAGTTCTAACCCCCAGCACCTCAGAATGTGATTATTTGGAGACATGACCTTTAAAGAGGTAATTAAGATTAAATTAAGTCATATGGGTGGGCCCTAATAATATGACTGGTGTCCTCTTAGAGATCAGGACACAGGCACAGAGGGACCACCATGTAACAAGAAGACAGCCATCACAAGCTAGGGAAAGGGGCCTCAGGAGGAACCACCCCTGTAGAGACCTCGATATTAGACTTCTAGCCTCCAGAACTGTGGAGTAAATACAAACACACACACAAACACACACACACACACACACACACACACATTTTTGGTGTAAGCCATGCACCCCTAGCAAAGGCACGCAGGCATCTTTCCAGGGTAACGATGCAGCTCGCCAACCATGGCCTCGATGGCTGCACCCTTGAGTCGTGCTGAGTGGATGCTTGCTCTTCTCAAGGCTGAGCGCCCACCCTTCCCCACAGGAGGATTAGATGCCCTCATCCATGCAAACTCAGGTGTGGCTTCTCTGGCCAGGGAATCGGTAACAGAAGGGGAGAGACATGTATCACTTGTGGTTCACGGGGGTCTTTCCACTCTGTGTTCGCAGAAAAACACATCCAGTGGGGCTCCTGTTGGCATGGGTCCCTAGGGCACTATAAAGGGCAGAGGCTGTCCCAGTGGATCTGTGACTGAGATGCAAAGTTTGTTACTGCAGCACAACCTGGCACATCCTGACTGATACAATGGATAACAGCTCTACCTCCCTCCTTACTGCTGGGCCTTCGGGCTGTTTCGTTCTGCTGCAGTCACTAGGGCTCAGGCCACTGCACGGGGGTTTATCTCATTCTACCCCTCCTCACTCTGTGTGGATAAACTACAGTTCACAGAGGTCAAGATGACACCAAGGACTGTCAGCTTCCTAGTGTAATCGGAAAGGTATGACCAAGCTCAAGTCCATGCTTGAAGCCCCACACCAAGGAATGAGCAATGACCAAATATAGGCAGGCGAGTGGTCGGTGTCTACGCACCTAGTAATGTCACGTGGGCAAATCAGAGTATTTGACACTTCAACCAATAGTATTAAAAAAGTCTGTTTCTTCATGCCTTCAGCAATTCTGGGTATCTAAGACTTTTAACGTAAGGTCTAGAATCACAGACTGGATTAATACTACTTTAATGATTTTTAAAATGTTGAAATCTTTAATTCTTCTGGAGTATAGGCTAGTAGGAAGAGGAAAGTACGCAGTTTTACTATTTTCCAGATGGCTAATCAGTTGTTCCAACTCCTTTTACTGAATAATACATTTTACTCCCATTAATTTGAAACACCTCTAGTATGAACTAAATTCCCATTTGGCTTTACTCCAAAGTTCTCTATTCTCCTCTGTTCATCTGTCCACACCAATTTCCAAGCACCTTCATTACTGCAGCTTTATAAAACGTTCACTATCTCATAAGACCTTTCCCTCAATACTTCTGGTGTTAGAATTTTCTTGGAGATACGTTAAAAAACAACAACCCCATAGTGCCCGCTGTGTCCTATCTTTAAGGACGTGAGGGACAGGCACGATGATCTAGAAGGGCCCTCATTTGAGCTGGCAAGACAGCTCTGGCAGTAGAATCTAAAGCTGCTTTCTGGGGGGATGGCCCAGTTGACACCCTACTATGTTGCTGGCCTCTGCGCCGGCTGCCTTTCCTGTCTCCATGTAGTGGACGTGGAGTGAATTCCTTCAGCTCAAGATTGGCATTTTCCCTTCCGACCCCCTGGGTTTTTTACTCCCTCAGGCTCCAGGCAGCTCCTGTCCAGGGCTTGGGTTACCATCTCCCATCCCTCTCCTGAGGGCCAGCTCTGCCAAGGCAGGCCCCAGAGGATTGGGGGAGAGGCCAGATGACCTGTTTAATTTGGAGAAAGCAAAGAAGAGGAAGGACCTCATTGGTGATGGCAAGGTGCCTGTTTCTGGGTGGCATCAGGAGAGGATGGGAGGGCTCTGGCCTGGCCTGCCACACAGGCCGTGTACAGTGCTGCAAAGTGATGGCTTCCTCTGGCGCTGTCCCTGCCTTTGGAAAGATGCAGGACCTAGCTGCTTTCCCGCTCTGTGGGGAACAGGAACACAGCGTCAGGAGAGGAGGCCTGTCACGCTTGGTGGGAGGAGGGCCCTTTGAGCATTCGCCACTCCCAGATCTCCACACACAGGCGGGCCACCCCACGGAGGGTGCTCCTGAAAGCTGCATGGTCTGGCGGGCTGGCGGAGGTGTTAGGGACAGGCTGGCTGGAGTGGGCGGGAGCAGTCAGACTGTACCTGCAGGAGGAGGGCCTGGACCTGAGCAACAGCAGGGAGGGGCAGTAGTGTTATCCCACACGGAGGGACTGGGGCTGCCTAGAACATTCTGGGATTTCCCACATCTGATCAGAAAGGCTACGTATGATTTCTTTTGTCAGCTTGTTTGCTTTGCTTTTAGGGTTATATTAGCTTCCCACCTATTTCCAAGATTTGCAACTGTTTTACCTGTACGTTATCTGTGCCTTAAAGTAACTCACACATAAAACCATCTGAACCCAGAGCCTTTTGAAGTAAGTTATTAAATAAAATAATCCCAACAATGTGCTTAAAAATTTTTATCAGATGTTTTGCATATTACAATTTTTCCTACAATAACTAGTCTGAGTTGCAGTTCCCATTTCCACTTATTTCTTCTTTCTACTTATTTCTTCTTTCCAGGAAGGCGTTCTTTTGTTTACACAATTGTAAAGCTGAAAGGGGCTTGAAATTCTTGCCTAACCACTGCTCTGATCGGTGCACTGTACCAATCCTGTGTTCAGTTTAGCTTGAGGGAGCTTCCCAGCTCAGCTCATTATTAGAAAACCCATCCTTGTGCAGAACAGGTCTTTCTTCATTCCAATCCTCTGGCCCCCTGGGGCCTCCCAACTCAGGTCTGCTGCCTGCTCCTCACTTCACCTCTACTCGCAGGAAAGTCAGTTTTCAAGGCCACACTTCACCTGTCAGGCCTCCCACTCCCACCCATTCAGCCCAACTCCTCAACCAGACCCTTCCCATCATGAGCTCCCAACCATACATGCAACACTGAGCTGGTGTGGGTGCTTGGGGCTGGGGCCTGGCCTCTCTGTTCCTGACAGAACGGGCACAATGCTCCTGCCAACGGAACAGACTCTGCTTGTGGGCAGCCACCACGCCGCAGGCCCAGCCATGGATCCGCCGCACATTTAATGAGCACTGGCTGTGTCAGGGACACGAGCTAAGATGGAGCTCCTGCCCTAGAGGCTCAGTCTACGCAGATACACAAGTCAGCAGTGCTGGGCTCAGTGCTGAATCGGCAATGTGCAAGAGCGAGCAAAAGGCAGTGACTGCGGAAGAGCAGAAAGTGGAAGGGCATCAGGGCAAAGGCACTGAGATAGGAAAATGGAAGAAAGCAGGTGACTAGAACGTTAACACAGAAGAGAATGCCTGGAACAGAGTTGAGACTGAAAGGCAGCTTGCATTCTACCTTCCTGTACTGGAGCCTTCCCAGCTGATCAGGGCTGCTGCTAAACACACAGAAAAGCACCTTTCTCTACCAAGACACCATCTGACTCACACTCAACAATGAAAGTGGCCACCTCCTCCTTATATTCCAGCCCAGAGGACAGGTCACGGGAAACAGATAGGGGTGGGGGGCAAAGCAAAGACCAAACAGGGACCAAATCCCCAAAAGGCTGGCATGGCAAACCCAGTCCAGTTGCAGCCAGCACTGAAGGGGGTTCTGTGTGTGTGTGTGTGTGCGTGTGTGTGTGTGTTACAAAGACAGTGCAAATATATGATGAGGACTGATCTATAGAGCTCTGTCCAACTAGTGAGAACAAACCCAGGTGAGATGGCACGCCAAGGGCAGGTGTGGGGATGCAGGAAGCAGCCTCTGTGCCATCGAGGAAGTCAGAGAATGAGGAGCAAGGGCAGAGGCCAGCGGTCTGCTGCGGTGGGGGAGGGGGAGGACGAAGGCAGAGTCTAAACAAGTACCCCTCCTGCCCAGCAATGGGGCAAGTGGACAGCGCCACACCTGGCAGCACTACATCTAGAGTCATCTGGCAATGCCACTCGGTCCTGGGGGGGAGGGGCTGCGGGATTCCTTGGCTACAAAGGCCACTTCATCACGAGGAGCACCACTGCACCTGCCTGGGACCTGTTCAGAATCCAGGGCTGCAGGATGGAGAGCAGGAGAAAAAGGTGGCTCTGCTGGGGTCTCCACCGCCCCTTGTGGGCCACCTACCTCCCCTGTCTTCCGGGGTTCTGGCCCCCCTGGGTGAGCTGGATCTGGTTGCTGGGCAGGGGGCTTAGGCAGATTCTGAAAACACAAGGACAGTTTTGGGGGCCATCTCTGTTGGCCCCACCAGACCAGGATTGGTGCTGCATGCAGAAGTGGACAAGGCAGGCGGCTCAGTGGGCCCAGGGCTGCTCTCCTTGGCCAGCTGCTGCTCAGGCAGAGCATTTTTAATTCAGAGTCAGAACTAGAAGTAGCAGGGGTGGCCAGACTGTCTGGGACGGCCTGAGGGTAGCACCCATGTTGAGTGCAGGGCCTCCGAGAACCTAGCTAAGTACGGCCTCACCACAGGCGGCTGCGGGGCCACTGGTGGCTGGCTTGAGGTGGGGACAAGGGGCAGGGCACTGCAGCATGGTCCTCAGCAAAGCTGTTCAGGTTTTGAGTAACCTCCTCAGGATCCTGGCAAAAGAGCTCATCATCATCAGGCAGGGACACCCGTCAAGGTAGGGGCTGCCCACGCCCAAGCTGGGTCTGTCAGGCGCCCCGAGGCCCTCGCAGACTCGGCTGAGGTTGTCCTGGCAGTGCTCAAAGTGGAAAGACATGCAATTGCCCAGCTGGGCCAAAAAGCGGTGCAGCAGCCATGGGGAGCCATCAAAGGTGCCTGGGTCTGAGCCTGGCACCCAGTGGAAGTCCACCCTGAGGGGTCGTGGGTCGGGCATGTGCACAGTGAGCGAACCCTTTTCTGTGGCTTCACAACTCACTGTGCTCTTCTGCTCCATGGCCGCGCACACACACACAGGGTGCCCACAGCAGGGCTGCTCAATCCAGGGATCCACTAGGGGGGCAAACGCAGCCCCCAGGAGAGGCCCAGTCAATCTCTTGCCAAGGGGTGTACGTTGGATAACTGGCTGCAGCCCAGATGGGACTGCAAGGACCCTGCCACCAGCACCAGCCACAAGGAATGCTGGGAGTGGAGGGAGGCTGCTGCACCAACTACTAGAAAGAAGGGGAAAGGAGAGGAAGAGATGGCACAGGAAGGAGGGGTGGTTGTGGTCAGAAGAGACACACAGGACACAACAGGACAGAGATGGGCTAGAGAAGGGTGTGGTAAACCCAGGTGTTCTGGGCAAGTGCTGAGGGTCAGGGAGGCTGAGAAGAGCTCACAGGACTGTCAAACTCAGGTCACCATCCAAGGCAGTCTGTCCAAAAACAAGGTGGGGAAGAGCAGAAACTAGGCCCAACCATCACCAAGGGGCTGCAGGAGGAGGCAACAAGCAGGCCAGCCCGAGGTAACCCACCAGGAGTTTGGAATGGAAGGAGGGCCTGGGATGTCCAAGAAGGCTGGCCAAGGCCACCTGTGACATTTCAAGGGCAAGATGTGATGGCAGATGCTGTCAGTACCAGAAGGAAAGGGGCCAGATCAGAACCCCCTGGGCTTCCTTGAACAGCCTGGCTATCAGGGAATTTCCGGAGAATGACAGTAGCAACCTTTTACTAAGTGCTCTATCCACCACCCCACACCCTGACCCTCTCGTAAGCTTGGTGCTATTACGGTCCCCGAGGCAGAGTGGTGAGTGAAGTCACTTGTCTGCAGCCACACACCAAGCAGTAAGTGGCAGAGGCAGCTGAACCTGGCTCTAGAGACCAAGCACTTAACCATCAACTTCACTACACCAATTACAAACCACACTTTACAATCTGCTTAGGAGTCTCCTGGCCGCCCCAAGCACTAACACTAACTTGTGGCACAGACGGTCATCCGATGGTCTTACGTCACAGCATCAGGAGCATGGTACCTGCGTGTGTGACAGAAGCCGCGGGCCTTGCTATTCTGTCTCTAGGCCCTCGGCTTTCCAGATCACTTCACCACTCAGAGTACAGCCGATGGGCAATGCCACCCTGACCCTGAAGGCCACCTCCCCGCACTCCTTTCCCTGTCGAAAACCCAGCATCTGATGTTCAAGTTGAATCCCACTTGCTGCACCTTCTCTCACCTCCCTAAAGCTACTCCTGCGAAGGGCCTGGAGAGCAGTGAGCATCGACCCTGAGTATCAAGGAAGGAGGCTGTAACCATCAGCAGGCACAGTTCTTTTCCACGGCAAGGAGCCCTCCCCCAGGGTTCTCACACTGCCTCGCCTAACAGAGCCACCTCCTCCGTCTCTGCAAAGGGAGGGCCGCTCATGGTCTCTGCAGCACTCTCTGCCTCACCCCTCCTTGTGCGGTTTTCCCAACAACCCCTCCACTCACATCCCAGTGCCCCGCACCCAGGGCACCGCACCCTGCACACCCCTTCGTGTGCAGTTTCCTATGTGTACACCTGGCCCCCGTCAGAGCGAGTTCCTCCAGGAAGGCACAGCTCTATTGGTCTTTCTGCCCTGCAGCACTCGAAGCTGCCAGGGCCACCAGCACCTACTCCGCCAGCCAAGCATTACAGAACCTCTTAGGTACATCCCCTCCCCCCTGGGGGTGGTCTTCCACCTAAAAGCCCTTCCCATCCTAAAACAAGGAAAGAATATTCGAGGGCCTGCAGTGGCCCAAGGAGCAGCACACTCATCGAGTCCGGTCCCTCACGGAGCTCTGAAACAACGCAATAACCACATCGCAGCTCCTATCACCCACCTGAGGTCAGGTGCCAGGTCGCCCACGGAGACCACATCCCATGCCCAGGAGCCAATGCGCTCCCTTTCTCCCAGTTCGGACCTCCCATCCCCACTTGGACCCCTAGCTGTCACCCCTCCCAACTCATCATCATTCCTGTGTGCCCTCTGCAACCTCAGGAGGAAAGCAACTCTGCGCCAAGCAGCCAGCCCTGCATGGGCCTGAGCCTTCCTACGCCTGGGCCTGACCGGTGCAGGGACCCTGGCTCTCCCACACCTACCAATCGGTTGGTCTCTCTCGTTTCTACCCTCACCGTGCCTGGCACTGAGGCATTTGGGCCCTTCTGCTGGACCGGACAGCGCTCTGTCCAGGAGCAGGTGCCGCGGCTCACGTGCACTCGCCTCCCACAAAGTCAGAGCCAGCACCTGGGACGCTGGAACGTTCTCTACTCCGGGGAGACCCCTGGCCCCCAAGAGTAGAATAACATGCCCAAAGCCCCATAGCAAGTGCCTCCACTTCAGGGCAGACCACTGCCCCACCCCTCCTGCAACCGCCATGCCGGAAAGCGCAGGGACCTGAGCTCACAAGCTCCCCCACAAGAGGAATCCGACCCACCTACGGCTACGCCAGGCGCCCACGGAAAGGGTCCACGAATCTGCAGCCAGAAACCTTGCGAACGCGTCTCCCTCCGAGGGCGAGAGTCCCAGTGTCACCTAGAAAGTGGAGAACAAGATCGGCCGCCGTGAGGCGAGGCGCGGGACTACCTCTGGGGACGCAGACGGCGAGAACCACCCGAAAACCATTGCCGACGCCCCCCGCCCGGCCCCGGCGCGGATTGACAAACTGAGGCCCGCCGGCACCCAGTGCGGGGGCTCCGAGAGCGTCTCCGAGGTCGGGGACTGGGGAAGGGATGGAGGGCGCAATCCTACTGCCGGGCGCCCGGGTTCTCGCCGCCCCACTGACCCTAGA